CCAAGCATTTTTTTTCTTGATTTTTGGCCTCTCGACCAAAAAAGTTTGCCCATCCCTGCTCTAAGGTATGATAAATTAACAATTTTAGATGATTGGTGTAATAACCAGAGACTCAGGAGAAACAGTCCCTTCAGCCAAATGGTATCTTTTAATCTAGTCGATGGTGCTGTAGAACCTCATCACCTGGCACAATGACTTGACCCATCGGATGGTCTTGACTGTGCCTTTTTCCATCCTGACTTGCCAGTACTTGTGAACAAACAGACTGATCTTCCTGCCTATCGGATGGCGGTAGAGACGAATATAACCGATCTGGCAGTGGAATTTACATCAAATTGCAAGACCATGGCTTAAAAATTCAGAAGAGAAATCCCGACTACTGCTCAGTATTTCACAGTGAGCTAATAGCCATTGATGAAGTTCTTGACTCTCTTGTGTTTCTTCCCCGCGAAAACGAGATATGGGTTATGTCTGACGGAAGAAGTGCAACACTGCAGTTGACTAATTGGCAAAGCATGAGAGATAGCGCTGGAGTGTCAATACTCCAAAAGTTAAAACGGCTTTCCATTTTACATCACATTCATCTGTAGTGAATTCCTTCCCACATCGATCTTGAAGGAAACGAGATTGCGGACACTTTGCTAAAGCTGATGCTTGCAAGGCCTGTGTGCCGTCAGCACCCCTCACCTTTTTGGAAATCGTCTCATAAATAAAACACAAAAACAAGACCACTTGGAATGTCTCCCCAAAGCAACCATGGTATCAGTTTTCTCGACCTGGAGGTTCCCTGGACCAAGATTTTATTAGACAGGAACAAACTATTCTTGCCCGCTTTCGAAGTGGTCACATTAAGTCAATGAAGTTTTTGAAAGGATCAAAGAACTTTGAAATTTGTACCAACTGTTCTTCAAACCAGGCTTCGCCTCACCACATCCTCGCATGCCTGGGGCTCTCCAAACAGGATTTAGCAGATGATCCATTGACGGTGTTGGATTTTTTAAGGGTGTATAACGTCATGAACCTGGTCTAGCACTGCTGGCCAATAGGGGCGTGCAACAATACAGCAACAACAATTTTAGATTTACCAAATTATATCACGTATCATAAAAAAATATTTTACTGCTAATTTCTCCAGAAATTATTACCATTGCTCTTTGGTAAAAATTACTGAACGTTTTGATGCTCCCGTAGAGTCAGAAACGTGGTGAATTTTACCAAAATCTTGGTAGTTTTGACTATGCTTTTTCTCAGAGTAAAATGGAAAATATGGTTTTAATTTGAGCGAAAAGTTTAGTCTTACCATACATTTTGCTACATATAATTTTACTTTTTGACCATACTTTTACCATTTTTAGTTTATATCTTTAGACTTATTATCTTTACTTTTACTTTGTAAGTGACTATAATGGAAACATTAGCCTGGGGTAAACATTTTTTTTGCATTTTTACAAATACTAGATTTTGCCTAAATCAGCCATGGGGATTTCAAACCTGAAATTAATTTTGTTCCTTAAGCTACAGTTTTTTGTTAAATGACAATTTTAGTCTTTTTTTTGTCGCAATGTACAAGTTAAAAAATGTTATAAATAGCAGGTGATGATGTGAATGTTTTGACAAACTTATAGGGGAGATATTTTGATTGAAATTTCATAAGACACCATGAATTGAAATTTCACGGTACGCGTCTAGGGGTGCTTTCCTGCTATGTCCCGTTCACAAGCGTACAGCGAAACAGATCATAATAATGAAGCGACCCTAGCGACGTATGAAGACATTTCCAAGCATGGGTTCCTATTCAGTTTTGATGTGCTCTAACTCTTCAGAGAGTAACACAATATTTATGCGATCCCTGTTGTATATAACGTATTTAAACTAGTAGATTGCAGCAAAAGATAGACTTACAAAGGTCATTTAGAATTAAAAGGAAAATGATAATTTGAGAAATAATCAGATTGCTGATTTAAAATCTGGGATACAAAAATATCTATAATCTGTTAAAAAATATTAGGCAATAGAAACGAAAACATGCGTTCCTCAGTGCTACAGATAAAATAAAACACCAGAAAAATTCTTTGTTTTAACCTCAGAAAGATATTTTGTTTCGCGTGACAAATTTCATAAATTTGAAGCACAATTACAAGACTCCTTTATAGTTTTCTCCAGGAAGATAAGGTATGTATTTTGAAATCACCTAGAAAAATTTGCATAGATACATCATCGATGTCATTAATTTTGTATTTAGCCCGCTTATCAACGAAACATATTAATTTTAGTGATTTTTGCTGATTTCTGGTGACGTTACCTAAAATCTTATGATGCCTTACCTTAAGATGCTTTACTTAAAATTTTATGATGAAGCACTGACAAAGTAGTATCGAGCTAGTGCATCAAACCATGTTCACATTTCATCAATTTTCTCCTCTGCCCCAAATTTTCTACTTTAAAAGAGTGAATTTTGTAAAGCAAACATCAAGGTTTGGTTGAAAGTCTTCTAATTACCTCTCATGGATCTATAAGAATTTTCGCATCAAATTACATTAAATAGTACCGGTACTCCTGGTGCTATTTAATTTTTTTTTTAACGTAAATGGTAAAATTCATTTTTAACGAAACATGTTACGGAACGAAAAATCTGATCAATAGTAAATTTTACAGTAACGATTACCGTAAAATCACTGAATCACTCTAATTGAATGTACAATCTTTATACTGTAATTTGGTCTGAATTTTCTACAGTGTCGATAGGTTTTGAATGTGTCTTTGCTTTTTGTAAAGATTTTAAAGATGGATGCAATTTTTTATTTAATTTTTAGTTATCTCTGCTTTTTCCCAAAAAATGCAAAATTTCTTGGATTGTACGTTTTCTTGACTCCTTATATTTCCAATTCTACTTTGCTCGAGTTTTAAAATTGATTTCAGCAAACCTATGTACCTTAGATAGCTTATAGCTCTCAGTATTGACCATCAATTATTCTCAAACCTGGCCTGCAGAACAACAATCAAATACATTCTTAAAAGGACCCTGGAAGACGCATTGAACTTGCACAACTAACATCTTCTCCTTTGAGCACTTTTATCCATTGTGAAGCTTTTTGTCAATCGTACTGTGTTTTACTGTTCCAACTATTATAAATATTGATATCTTTTAACTCTATAAGGGTCATTTGACCTCTAGTTTTAAATCCGTTAATTTTTTTTTTATTCATAGGTTATTCTGTGTAGTTTTTATGATTCATTTTTTATAAAGATCCTTAACCCTGATGAAGAAAGTCCTGTTACAAAATTTTTAGCTGGCAGTACGCACAGCTATTGAATATGTCATACTGTTTTATGTTTTATTTGCTCTGTCATACTATCTTACTCGCTCACCATGTACATAAGTTGTTGCATGTACTTTATGGATTTTTATGTATTTTTTGTTTTGTACTGTTTTTTGCATTTCAATAAACATTTACCCGTATGCCCTAAATTAGGGCAGGTCGGGCTAAATTTCTCATAGTTCACAGTAGTTCGATGGGTTAATCAGGATCACAGCGATTTGATGACATTATTTTTTGGGTATAAATTACTCTTGAAGCTGAAGTAATTTAAACTTTTGTTAAGAAATACGCATTTTTTTATATACGCTCAAACAATTTATTACGTATCCAAGATTCGTTTTGGGAACTAATCTTTGTACAGTACAGTTATAGCGCAAGCAAAATTAGTGATTAAGACCTAAATATTGAAATTTCATAATGTCCAGCGAAACTTTATATTGCGAGTTAAAAAATAAAATTAGGAAAAAAAATGTGAGTTAACTTTTTTTGTGCTCAATTTAGTAATATATTTTTCGTTTTTTGTTTCAACTTAGCACTAAAAATCACAAAAATATGTAGATTTATTAAAAAACCCTAAAAGAAATGAATTCGATATTTGCTATATTTTTCTTTCAAGTGTATACAGGAAAGATATTATGCTTTATACTTGAAATGAATAATCTCAAGGAAAGTGAAATGAAGCTGGAAAATATACTTGGTATACTTAATACTTGATAAATAACTTGCTTAATATCAATATAATAAAAAGAAATTACACCATTGCATTTTGAGACTATTTTATTCTTGATATGTAAATGTATTGTCTTTAATATTAAAAAGAAAACATATAAAATTTAGTAAAATTACAAAATTTTGAATCTGAAAGAAAACAGACCATGAACAAAAATTTTAGATAAGACATTTAAAATATTATTTTTAATGTCTTATCTAAGACATTTAAAATATAAAACATATAAGACATTTAAAATATAAAATATTAAAATATTATTTAAAATATTATTCAAACTTAATAAATCTCTCCTAAATATAAATTTCGAAACTTTACTTTAGTCGAAGCAATTCTAACTATTAAATCATTCAAATAAACTATACTAATAATTAATTTTTGCAAAAAAGTCTACAGAAATTCAAAGTTACGTTTCATTTAAAAATTTTATTCAGTATACTTCTTCCGTAGAAAAAAAACAAATAGCTTGTGTATCAATAATAATTCACATGTTAGTCTCCTTCATCTGACTCCGAATCAGAAGTAGAATCTTCTTGAGTATTTTTACATGAGCCTGAAAAGAAAAAAATTAATATTCATTATACATAAATGTATATTTATTTATTTTTTTGCGTTTTAGTTCTTTTTAGTGGATGAAGCTTATTATTGTTCTAATCTATCATTATCTGTCTGTGATGAAATTGTTATCTGTTTCTTATATTTTACTTTTATAGGTCGTTTTATATAAGTAAAAACGTTTTAAAAGAAATGTCGCTAATTAATTTTAATAAATATGAATTCAAGCGAAAATAATTTAATTAAATATACAAGGAAAAAATGTCGGGAAAATAACTTTACTGTTTATTAAAAAAATGGTATTTCTAATTAACCAAAATATAAAGTATAAGAACCATTCATTTGGTAATTTTTCCGTTTGTGTAATAACGGTTTAAAGGAAATTTGGGTTTTCAAAATAATTCTTATTACCACTCATCTAGTAAAAAATGCAAAATTGAAAAATGAAATTAGTCGAAAAAATGTTTTTTACCATGTTTTAATAATAAATTACTAATTATCACATTATCACTCATAACAAATCTATATTTAATTGTTAATTTTACCAAAGTAATTCCCAAAGCGCTCCTGTTTCGATGTTCCCTGTAGAGCCAGAAATATAGCGAAATCTTTCATACTCTGGTATCTTTTGCCATACATTTTCTATATGTGTAAACCAGTATAATCCAGTGAGCATTACATATAATCAGAAAATTAACTTGTGTTATTAAGTTGTGCAACTATAAAGATATTCTTAATTAAAACTTTTTCCTCTCAGAAAATAATTTTTCTCAAAGGAATCTTTAACGAAATCTTTTACCACAAGATTCAAGATTACAGGAAGGTTAATTTTCATTCATATTCTGCATTAGCTTAAAGTTAATAAAATATATGGGGAATTATATTTTATCTGTAGTGAAAAGCACAAGCATATTGTCCATGTTTTTCAAATTTCAATCGTTATTCCATAATTAATAATATATGAACCATATTCAACTTTATTTGAAATTTACTGTAATAGTTTACAACAGGAAGCCCCTCTTATTTTCGGCGATTTGAAAGTAAATGAATATATGTATACGTAAATAAACCAAGAACTAATAAATAATGGTAAACAAAAGTTGCAGTAATTCATTTAAAGCTAAGAATGAAAAGTTTTTTTTATTTCCAATGAGCTGCATTATCGGTCTTGCCGATGAGCAGACCTAGTGCGTTCTCCAGAGGTGGTATCCACTCTTTCAGGACCACCACAATGGGTGAGATGCCGTTGGTCATGTTAATTTGGACATCTAGTTTCTGCCACACTAGATGGCAGCACCGAGACTCTATTTGGATGCTAAAGTGCACTAGGAATTTAATTTTGCCGGAAATGCCAAGAGCCAATAAGGCACTC